TATATTGTAGTAGATGTATAAAAAAATTTGTATCTGCTACTTCAATTAAATTTATCAATTCAATTTTTGTCATAATATAAGATAATAGATTCCATTATTTCAGCAATTTTACCACGATTACACACGGACCATTAGTTCTCGTCGATCATTCTCGAATTGATAACTGAAGGATAACAGAGATAAATCGCAGATAGATCACACGAAAAAAATGCACATTCCTCCTTATGCTATTAAGTACTGAACTTTGAAAAAAATTTGACTAGATAAAATAAATCGTTCCTGTTCTTCTTTCGTGTCTTTGGTTACAAAAATGTATGTCTGTGTACACGAATATAGTGTCTATATGTGTGCGTGAATGTATATGTGTGTATGTATGTTGCACATATGTAAATATTTCGTGTTCCTTCTTATGTGCATTATACACATATAGATACATATATATATACATATATACGTACGTGTACGAATGACTAGGTTGTGAAGTTTAAGACAGGCATAATATAAATTTCTCGTCGACGACTAAAGCAGGATAGGCCTGACAACGCATCGTTAACGTTACGACAAATAATATTGCTACGATCTTTGCTAGTGTTTCCTCCTTCGATAAAAAAAAAAAAAAAATAAGGAACAATTAAACTTGCGAAAAATATGGCACGCAAACCGAATTTGTTTATTAAAACTAATGACTGATTATATCCCTGATATATAATCTTATTACAATTACGATGAATAATTATCGAATACGATAAACAATAATCGAATTTACTCTACTCTAAAAATGGAAATAAAATCTTTGGTTTTCTCTAGCAAATTATCGTACATCAATTCTTCCGCATAATATTGGTTTGATGTATATAAATTGCACTTGTGCTTATTTAAATGTTAACCAAAATATAATGTTGATATAACGAAAATTCTACTCTTCTGGCAATCAAATCATAATGGCTCTTTTATGGCTGATCGCAGCTTCTCGTTTTCCACTTATCTGGCTCAATTTGCTCTTTTTACTATTTCATTCAATCGTGATTATTTCACTATGGTCTGAACAACCGCGACCACAACTAACGTATAATTATCAAACATTGACAGAATATTGAGCAACATAAAAATTATACAATAAAAATCCGAAAGAAATGCAAAGAAAGATAAAAATATTACGATACTTTCTTATGTATTCCAAATTACTTTTGATTATTAAATAAAGAAATTTTAACGCTCTCATTTTTCAAAAACAAGACTGTTTAACTTTGCATGCAATCAAATAGATTTTAATTTCGATATAAATAAATAAATAAAGTATACAATTCCTTACTCTCGTTTACTTTCAAATCCAGCAAGCTACTACTGCTTTCAGCAAGAGCATGTTGATGACCGCGATCGAGGGGAACCAAAACACGGTCGAATTATATTTAGCACGGTCGCATAAGAATCGTATGTGATCGTACAATAAAGCCGCGTCAGATAGCAAACGATAGCGAGGGTATCGCCGGTCTATCCTCCTTTGCGTCGACGGGATTCTTTCTTTGGTAGGGCGTCTTCGCACTAAGGAATAGGACTAGAGGTGATTCTTTCCACGCTGCTCTCCCTAATGCGTATCGTCGTGTAGGTCGCGTTCGCGTCCATGCTCGTCGGACTGTCGGCATTTTGCTGGGCGATCGTCTGGCCGGTCGACGACACGGAGATCGGCGTCGGCGTCTCGGCGCCGCTGGCCGAGGCCATCCCAACGGCGGCCACCGCCGCCGCCGCCGCCGCCGCCGCGGCGGATGAGGGTGTCCCACCGAGCCAGCCGTGGCGGTTCTTCAAATGGCGCTTCATGTGCGTGGTGCGGCTGAGCACTTTGTGGCACACCGGGCACTGAGTCGTACCCTTGTGCATATTCATGTGTTTATACATCGAGTCCCGATTCCAAAACGATTTACCGCAGAGTTTGCACGTGTGCGACGGCTGTTCGATGACCAACGTGTATGAATCTAAATCAGACACAAACGTTCATGCTACGTCGTGGCCGCGCGCGCGCGCGCGCGCGCACGCGTGCCGATTACGCACGAGGTTTCACCCTCTCGGGTTTCATCCTCTCCCTTCCTACTTTCCGGATCTCGTGTTCGCGAGACGCGCTACCGGATCTGTACTCGAGTACTCGAATACCGAGAGCATTCCCCGCGATCCACGACGCGACATTTTTCACCCTTTTTCAAATTCCACGATACAATTTTATATCTTTTATGAAAAAACTATTCTCACTCGCTTCATATGTATGAAATATCAAATAAAAATTTTTGTAATGTGTGAATATAGGTTGTGCTAGATATATTTCTATTATTTTTTTAAATTAATTAAGATTAAAACAAAGGTGCACTAATGCACTTTGTCAGACTTTAATATTTTCCCATTTTGGTTTAAACTCAACAATTAAAATTCTCTTGTCACAAATATAATTAAAGGATTACGACAGATGTCTCGCTGTGGATCACGGCACGTGACGCTGCGAGTACAAAAATGCTTTCGACGTTAAGAGAAAATAGAAGGAACATCGAGAAAAATCGCATGTCAGTAGCAAGCTACTCGTACACTCGAAAAAAAATCTCGTCTCACTCTCGTTTCTCTACCTACTTTTCCACTCGTTCATTCGATTCTGAGAAACAACAGCAGCAGCAGTAACAAAAAAAAGAAAAAAAAGGCAACGCACACGGTGAGACTTACAAACAGAAAGGAAGAGAAAAAGAGAGAGAGAGGAGAAAAGAGAGAGAGAGAGAGAGAGAGAGAGAGAGAGAGAAAGAGATAATAATCACGAGAATGGCGACACACAAAATGGCAGTAATTGCTCTCGGAGCAGTCATGCTACTGTAAACTATGAATATACAACGGCATAATAATGAACAACAGCGAAAGGAAAAACGGAAAAATACAGAACGAATATACACGTATATAAAATGTTCAATATTCATGCACAACATAGTTCGGAACAGGACCAAATCCGTGAGTCGTGATCGAAAGCCGAGCATCAGGCCCAAGGGATTCGTGTCACGAGATATATACTGCCAATCGCATGTTGTGTGTAGTGAACCGACAATCATGTATTTCTTTAGGTCGCTATTAATCGAACGTGGGTCGCATGCTATACTTTAGCACACGTGGAACGGGCGTGTCATGTGCCAGGAGTCGACAATCCGATGATTTACGGCGTTCGCATGTCTAAAGAAGTATCTATATTCACCAAATTTCTAATGTGGAAGGGAATAAAAAAAATATCTTCAATATATTCTAGACAGTTATAGACGGTTTACCGTTAAAAGCGTTATATAAAATTTCGTTATAACGAATTTTTCACTTTAATATTAATTCCAATTATGTTAATGTTTGAATATCTTTCGATTTTGAAGTAAAATCTTTTTTATTATTAAAAATCTTCTCATTAAGCTCTATAGCTATAAAAGCTGCATTCTTCATCGGACATTCGTTATACGAAATTTCATTTTACGTTCATGTCGCTGATTGAAAATTATCCTAAGATAATCTCAACAAAATATTCAATTATTTCATGCAGTAAGAAAATAACGCACTCCAACGGTGCAAAAGATCATGTAAAATTTCCATATTATGACTTTATTTTCAGGATGGAAGGTACAAAAAAATGTATAATCCCGCGCTTTTTTATATAATCTACTATCTTGCGCATAATACGTTATATCGGTTACAGCAAAAATTATCACATTGTAAGCTGGTGAAAAAATTCCATTTAAAAAAAATGTTGTAAATCAATTCTTTCTAAAAAGATGGAAAACAAGATGTTGACTCAAAGGCTACCTATCTATTTCTCCAAATTTCTTTGTCTAATTTGAATCATTTACAGGATTTACCCGATATTAATTTTTACTAGAACAATCGTTACTGCATATTCAAAATATGTCATTGCATTTTATCTCTGCTGTCAAATTATGTTATAGTCTTACAAAACGATAAAACAATGAGATGAAAATGAATAATAAGAAATGATTTTCTTGCGGATAGATCCTCAAAAATTTAATACGCACGTCACTGATTATCATTGCGTACATTTTGAGAGGATTACGTCACACGAGTTTTCCAATTGTAAATAACGATTGTCAAAAGTAAAGTAAACATTACAAACGTTTGATTCTCATATATACCGATCTATTTTGTATCGATGGCTTTATAACTTCTTAACAATAAACTAGCCACATCAATTAAATAGACAATAATGAAATCAATCGATCCAACTGCCGATCGACGATTGTCTAAGTTTTGCGCTGAGATGGAAACGTGACATTCACATAAATAACAGCCTCATGTATATGATGTCAATGTGGTGTAACCGTAAATGTACATTATTATATTTAAAGGACGACGAATGACTCTCGTACTGCTCGGAGAAAACTGCCGTCCTAGATAAATTGTGCACGATTGACAGACTAACGAAGCTTCAGACAAGATGGCTGCTGACACGAGTTTAGGGATACTCGCGATGTTCTGATTTCGCCAAGTAGTGGTGTAGCAACGTAACACGATAACCTCCTTTGTGCAGTTAATCGAGATCGCTCGATAATACTTAATACGATCAGTCTAGCTGCATAGAATATAATGTTCCTATGACACTTAAGTACCGTATATCGCAAGCTTCGTTCGCCGAAGAAAAGGAAGTATATTTTTATCTTATCTTACACTCATTATGCATATATACATATACGTATCTTGGATTCTTCTCGCGAGTGTGGAAAAACGCGGATACAACTTTGCAAAAAACGAATTACGATCTGTACAAGTATCGATTATTGAAGAAATAAAAATGAAAAGATATGATCTAAAATATATTTTTCATAATGCTAGATTTGTGCAAAGTTTGAAAGAAATCGGAGTATTCCCACTTGACAGGTTTACTTGTAAGTCTTTTCGATGCAAAACATAGAGAATGGTATAAACCATTAATGTAATAGCCATATAGCGACTAAATGATCAAACACGTCAAAATTATTACCTTTGGAATGAAGAATATCGTATTTCGTTACATTTATAGATATCGAAACGCATCAATGAAAAAATTAAACAACGAAAATCTCACGTGAAAAATGATTCTGTATACAATTGATTTGTAGAAGAAAATAATTCTGTGGTTGAGGTTTAAACACCTATACATTTTAATTTTTTTATTGCTGCGCTTTTGTTACGATAAAATAAAAACTTTTAACACATTAAATGCTATGGCCAATGATACATTTTTCTTGAGTGTCCACGATTTAGATATAATTTTATGTATTTTTAATATATATATATATA